AGAAATTGGCAGATCACTTTGTGACAGGTTTGGCTATTAATCTACCTTGGTGTAAATATAATAAGTTGTATGAATCGCTAATTTCGCTTGAGTCTCAAAATTGGGTTAATTTGATGAATGAATGCTTTAATTGAAGCTTGTATGTTGATGCTATGAAAGATTTTTGCAAGAATTTTAATTATTCAAAGGGTACTGTTTATAGCATACTGTATGGGAAGGCGATTGAGTTTGATGCTATGTATTTGGCTGAATTGTTAGATGTTCCTAATGCTGGATATGACCTGTATTTCAAGAATAATGTGATAAGGAACCCTCTTCCTGATGCTAAGTATCTTGGTGGTGACCCTGAGGAATACTACATTAATCACAATGACCTTACCCCTCTTAACAAAATCTTGCTGAAATTTGCTTTTAATGACATAATCCCTCATTCTCAAACGAGAGACTGTGTTAACAAACTTGATTTTGTCCTGATTTATTGCCTCGCGAAAAATATCCAAATCAATTTTCCCTCTATCATGATCCAACACCTTTCCCACTGTGTTCCAAAAGGATGGAAGGTTGGTTATGGCAACCTACATACCTTTGTGTTTGAAAGCTTTGGCATTTCCTTTGTCAAAAAGGAACCCCTGCCCCTCAAAAACACCGAATACATACAACCCATTTTCCTTAAAAACCATAAGATGAAGGTTGTGGATGGATGTATTGAAGTTGTGCAGGAGGAAAAGGAGAAAAGGCCAAAGGAAGTAGGGGTTCCATCTGAGGGGGAAGAAGAGAAGGCATCAGAGATAGTTGAGGGAGTGGTGTAGGATATTCATGAGAATGAAGAGGAGGAGGAAAAGAAGGTTAAAGAGGTGACTTAAATAGGGGGAAGGAAGAAAAGAAAGATCTTAAGGTTGTTGAAGATAAAGGAGAACCCAGCGCCTATCTGCATTGATATAACTGGGGTACAGAACAGTTTGTAGAAACTTCCAAGCACTCCTACTTCGGGCAAGTATGCAACTGCATGTAAAGGATTTGCAGGATTCAGTTCCCCTGCAAAGGTTCCCAGCTAAGAGTGATGAGTGGCATTTATGCCATGATTAAGGTTCATTTTAATGGCTATTTTCCTACATTTGCGGCTTGTTTGCATCATTTTCCTTGCACTTAGTTACCTTCTTTTTTATCTTCCTTTTTCTTAGATTTTTCTTACACTTTACTTTGATTCCCATGCTTGTGTTTTGTAGGAATAGGGGTCTTCAAAGTGGAGAAGGCTTAAGTTAAATTGGAACTGAAGAAAGCAAGTTCTAGAGGAGGTGTGGTCGAACTCTCTTAAAGGTTCGGTTGAACCTTAGGTGTGATCGAACCTTCTCAAGGTTCGACCACACTTTGGAAGCAGGAACTTTTCAAATTTCTGCATTTTACAGAAGCGGTAAAACCCCAGAAGTTCGACCAAACCGAGAGTAGGGAGGTTCGACCGAACCTACCCATGGTTTGGCCGAACCTACCCTGATTTTCTATCGAACCTACCCTGATGTTCGACCGAACCTACCCTGATGTTCGACCGAACCTACCCTATGTTCGGTCAAACCTTTTCCCAGCTTTAGCCAGCTGTGTAAGGACTATATTGGTCCCGTTTTAGAACGTTTTGAGGAAATTAGATTAACTTAGTTGTAATTTTTGAATTTTAGCTTAATTTAGGGAGAGAAAGTGAATTATTACTCAAGTTTCCTTTATTGTATTCAACTTTGGTCAAGTTTAATCTTCAATCAAGCAACACTTCAAGTTTTCATCTTTCAGTAATCCTCTCTTTAGTAATCTCTAATCCTTTCTTTTAGCTTTATGGTTACTTATTTTCATTAATCTTATTAGTTCATCTAGTTAGTATTGATTTCATTATTCTTAATCATGTTTTTTTTTGTGTTTCTTGAGTTTTTTTCTAGGTTTTATATTATTTTTAATCTCCCTGCTCTAGGCTAATTTCTTAGCTAGGGGAATGAGGTGGAAAATATGTGTTGATATTGGATGAATGATGATGGTTGGATTGAACTCATGCCATAAATTTATGAAAGACATGATTTTTGATAGCTTGAGATTATTGTGGCACTTTATTTGATGTTTTCTAGTTTAAATGCATGAAAGTGATTTGAACTAGATTAAGATCATCTCTATTTTAATGATTGTATGAGAATGAGTTATTAAAGTGGAGTTTTATGGATTGTGCTTCTTTATTCTCTTGATTTGATTGTAACTAATAGGATGCATGAGAATTATCCTTATTAGTATAGACCTTTTTCATTGATTCGCCTAAACTATTGCATGAGAATGAATTGTTTAGGTAGAATCTTATGTTCTTTGGCATGTTCTTCATGATAACCATTATTGTTCCCCTCTTTTTAATCATGTTTGACACCCCCGTATCTCTAGCGTCGTTCTCTCTTGATTTTAATCATCATTTTCTTTGCTTATTTGTTGTTATAGTTCTCTTTATTCAAAAACCAACAAAAACATTCCCCTTTTTACTCTTGCATTAGTTAAAATTGATGTTGAATGAGTGAGCTTCCTTAGTGGTTCGACCCTTTACATGCCCCTATACTTGTATTAGTGTAGTTTAGGAATATAAATGATTAATTTGATTAGGGTTGTAGTTTAACGACCTATCTAACCCTCGATCAAATTTTGGCGCCGTTGCCCGGGGAAGCGGCTTGTTTAGCGTCTACTTTTGCTTTTTTTAGAGTCATTTTACTTGCTTTTCTTTTTGTTTTGTTTGTTTTATCATCCTTGTCATTGCTAATTTTTTTATTAGCTTTGGTAAATGCTTAGGAGGTCTGAAGGACCACCCACACATCAAATTGACCACAGGATCGACCGAACTTTGAGACAAGTCCGTAGGCTCTATCAAGAAGAGGGAAGAGGTCTTGGTGCTATAGTTGATTGTGAGAGTGATTCTTACTCTTCTAGTTCGAAAAGCAGATAAATGGCGGGACAAGAAGATGATGTGTTTATTTCGTGTGTCCGGAAATCCGAAAGATTATGAGCTCACGGGAGGGATTTTGCTACCCGCCACAGAAACCAACTTCTCAATCCATCCCCAATATACTAGAATCGTACAATCAGAGCAATTTTCCGGATGTGCAAGTTAGGACACCATTGAACATTTGCACCAATTCCTTGAGTTGTGCACGATGATGCAGAGCAATGAAGTGAGCCAAGACTACATTCATATGCATCTCTTCCAGCAATCTCTCACTAGAAGAGCACAGAAATGGCTAAAGCAAGTAAAGCCTAACTCTCTCACAACATGGAGGGAGGTGGTAAAGGCGTTCTTGAAGCGATTTATCTCCGAGGAGAAGACCGCCAAAATGAGAAGGAAAATAGCATCATTTGAGCAAGAAACCGATGAAATTCTTGGTGAAGCTTAGGAGATATTTAAAGAGTTGGTGCAAGCGTGTCCTCACCATGAGTACAATTAAGGGTTGCTCATGCGGTTTTTCTACGATGGATTGGATCCCATGTCATGAGCCAACTTGGAGGCAGGGGCGGGTAGTCAATTAATAAAAATCCCCAAAATTAAGTTAAAGCAACAATAGAAGACGTAGCAAAGAACTACTCATGGGGGGGCCGAAGAAGGAATGCTCCAAAGAGAGGTGGGATTTACGAATTGGATAAAGTTGATCAATTGCAACATCAAATTGATCAACTAACAAAAGGGCTTTCCAAGTTGAACATGATTGTGAGTGTAAGTGCAAGCAATGGAGCAAGCTCCTCTCAAGTTAACTCTTTCTCTAGTCAAAATTGTGGAGGAACGAACCATGATACATCTTATTGTGGATGTTTGAGCCCCAAGCATGTAGCTGATGAGCGTCATTTATGACGCTCAAAAGAATAAGATTTAGGTTCTTTTTCTCTATTTTCTTTCATTATTTTCCTATATTTTTCTTAGTTTTATTTGGTTTTCCATTTTAATAACTCATTTTGAGTTTTGTTTAGTTTTTATGTGTTTTCCATTATTTTAGTCCTTAATTCGTAGTTTTAGTTTTATTTCCTTAATATTCTATTTTACTTTATTTATTTTTATTTTATTTATTTTTATTTTATTATGTCCCGATCCTTTCCTCATGTTATTTTGGTTGTAGGTGTTTTCGGGTCCTTGGTCGATCGAGTTCAACGTCCGAGAATTAAGTCAAGTTGCTGCCTTTGAGCCAACCCCTGCTGCCAGCCTAACCTACACCACCCATTTTCTTAACCTACACCACAACTGCTACAACAACCTCACCATCTCCCCTGCTCCAACTCTCCTTCTTCCCCTGCTTCCAGCTTCTCACACACACCATCACCAACAGCAACAAAAACAACACCAATCAGCCACGCAACAACCACCACCCTCCCAATCTCAGTCACACACACCAACACCCCGCAATTCCAATCAACCACGCAACTCACAGCAACACTAATCCCCTAATACCTCACGCAACTCCCTTACCACCTCCAATTAACCACCACGCAGCCACCTAAACCACCATCAATGTCCTCCACCAGCAACGCACCGCACTCTACCCCACATCACACAAACCAGCCACGCAACTCCCATATTTCTACCACAACCACCACCAATCGCAGCCCTCACCCACCTAAAAACTCACGCACTCCACCACATCAACCTCACACAAATCCGCCGCAGCCTCTACACCAGCAACCTGGCAGCCGCAACCAACACCAACACCACCAATCAGAATAGCAGCCCCTGCTGCCCCTGCTCAGCCACCACTCTCGCAACCTCCTTTAATTCCCCCAATTCAATTGAAATTCCCCAAGGACGCGTTAGTGAGAGGAGCGGACGCGGGCTCGATGTCACAAATCAGGCAGTAAGTAGCCGCGGTTGTCCCGAGGTTTTCCCGGGGACGCGGTGGCTCTAGAAAGGGCGCGGGCTACAGTACCCGCGGGCGCGGGGTTGCTGCAGCTCCAAAACTGCCGTATTTGGGTAGTAAGCACCCGCGGTTGTCCCATATTTGCATCCATTCATGCACGGTTTTGAGGACTTGGGTTTTGAGTTTGTGGAAGGAAAGGTTGTTTATTGTGGTGCAAAGAAGGATGAGGTTGATTCCTTTGGAGTTTTTGAGCTTGAGGGAGATGTCGATTGTGAGAGAACTTCATTTGAGGACTCTATGATTGATTTTCATGCCCTCGTTGGCGATGTGAGACCTTGTATTGAGGGAGTCATGAACCCTTTGCCTATTTCTCATACCCCTTTTTCAAAGGTTTGACCACATCCCCTATTGCCCTATTTTTCTCCCTTCCTTCGTTGATAAGCCTATTGGGGACTCCCTTGTCTATGATGATATTAATTTCCCTCATTCGTCTATTGTTGAGGAAAAGGGTGATGTTGCCACCCAAAAATATTTTAGTGAGGAGGATTTGCCTTTTTTCTTTTTCTTTCCATTCTTTTATTCCCCCTTCTTTTTCTTCTTCTTCTTATTTTCTTGTTTTTTCTTTTGATCCTTCTTCTTCTTTCTTTTGGCACCTCCCTTCTCACTTGCGTGAAATGATCTTGTTGCACGTTTTTCTTCCGTCATTTGCCTACCTTCTATCATATGAAATGTGTAGTAGTGCATTTGACAAGCTCTTGCGATCGTTGCAATATTATTTTACTAGAGCGGTCAAGCTTGGACCTTAAGCAAGCCTTTCTCGGGAAGTAACCCGTGTTTTAGAATAGGTTTTATTTTGTTTTTAGAATAGATTTTCTCTCATGGGAATTTTTGTGTGCCTTTTGCTAGGTACATGAGTTGATATACTTCGGTGCTTCGATTTGGATCAAAAATCAAGGAAGTTCGACTCCTATTTTTGCTAGCATATGGAAATAAGGTTTAATTCTTGAGAAATTAGCTTTGAAAGGTTAAATTGGGTCATTTGCGGGTATTTACATCCACCTAATATCCGGTAATATCCTTCCTTGCTCTTTCTCTAGTGGATGATGACTTGTTGGACATATGTTGGTTTGTTGGATTGATCTCCTTGTTTTCCCCTCCCATGGATTATATGATTTATGTTTGAGTGTAATGTCTCATTCAAGCTTGGGGGAGGGTATTCTATCATGTTTGGTGGGATGTTGATTCATGTATGCTATGAACCTTTGTATATGCTTTTCCATGTTCTTATATTTTGAATAACTCAAAAAAGATTTTTGTTTCTATCAAGGCAAATTTGCAATGTGTTTTGTTTTGTTCTTGCTTTGGACATAATAACATTTGGACTTGTATAATTGAATGCTTTTCTTCCTAAATGGTAGTGGTGTGCACGGTTTGAGATTACGTTTGGTTTATTCAAGGATAAAGCATGCTAAGGTAGTTGTCTAGAACTAGGGGGATCATGAAGCCGGATTCTACTTGTTTGTGGCATGTTTGGTAGTTTCTCCCTATCTTCGATTTGACAACCTTAGTGAGTTTTTGCTACAACCATGTGAGATTTATATTTGTTCAAGCTTTCATCATATTCTTTCATGAGCGACATGGGGTCCTTGACTTTGCAAGCCTAATCTATAAAGCTTGATGTATGATTCTTAAACCCGAGACCGAGCTATCTAGGGAGGACAAAGGCACCTTTTTCGGGGTGGTATTTTTCATTTTTAGGTTAGTTTGATTCATATTTGTTTTTGGGTTTCCATTTTCCTTCTTGCAACCATTTGAGCCTTATACCTTCTTTTCAAGCCACATCTTTAGTTCTTTGGCCTTTTGTTTCATTTTCTTTCTATTCTTGGTTTTTTGTGAAGCAAATTGATCACGTATGATGGAGTTTGTGGTGGATAAGTTGGAAATTTTGTTTTTATGAGTGCTAGTTTATGATTAAGTCTTCTTTGTGAATAATGGCAAGTGTTTGAGTAAAAGCCGTCCTTAATCATAAAAGGCATGGACTAATAAATTGCATTATAGAAAAAGCCGTCCGAATTTAGCAAAAGGCGAGGACATTGCAAGTTTAATTAAAAAAATTGAAAAAAGTGAAAATTCAGAAATATTTTGATGTATTCTTTTCTCATTCTAAGCATTGAGGACAATGCTTCTTTTAAGCTTGGGGGAGAAGCGTTTACGCTTTTTGTATATATTTCTTGTGAGTATAGCTTCAAATAAGCTTGGGGGTGTTGCTTTTCATTTGTTTGGTGATTTCTTGATCATGTTGTTAAGGATTGATCACCCTTTTGCTTCACTCTTTTTAGGAAAACCACCAAATTTTAAATTTTAGCCTACCTTAACCCTTTATGCCTTACGTTATAACCTTTGGGAAAGACCTTTCGACCTAGAAATTTGAGTCACTATTCGGGGGAGGGAATCATGGGTCATTGCCTAAGGAAAGGGGATGCAAAGTCAAGATGTCGAGTAGCCCAAAAATTTGATCTTTTTCCGGTTCCTTCGTGGAATCTATGAGATGCTCACTATGGGAGATATGAGATTTGTAGGGGGAACGCGGTAAGACCGTTTGGGATGAAAGTGGAGTGTGATAACTAGTTCCTATGCTTAGCATTTTTATGTTTCAATCAACCTTAGGTATCTTATAGCGTGCACTTCCTTACTTGTTTAGAAAGATTTGCATTCACTTGTGCTTGTAAGTTTGCAAAAGTCCTTTCATGAACATTTGTTTGCTTTTCTTGTATTTTGTTTTCTTTTTCACACTTTGCCTTGTTTGTATTATTATGAGAGTTATGGGTAAACTCTTAGGATACCCTTACGAGAGCATCACTCGTCCTCTAGGGCGATCTAGGGGTTTAAATGGCTTGTCTTTAGTTGCTAAAATTGACTGTGATTCCTACGAAAGTGAGTTAGTGTATATTCACATCTTCTCTAGTTTTCTCATTTCTTTCTTTGCTTGAATAATGTCATCATTTTTCCCTTGGGTTGGATTTTATTTTGCTCGAGGACGAGCAAAAGTTTAGCTTGGGGGAATTTGATGAGCGTCATTTATGGCGCTCAAAAGAATAAGATTTAGGTTCTTTTTCTCTATTTTCTTTCATTATTTTCCTATATTTTTCTTAGTTTTATTTGGTTTATCATTTTAATAACTCATTCTGAGTTTTGTTTAGTTTTTATGTGTTTTTCATTATTTTAGTCCTTAATTCGTAGTTTTAGTTTTATTTCCTTTATATTCTATTTTACTTTATTTATTTTTATTTTATTTATTTTTATTTTATTATGTCCCGATCCTTTCCTCATGTATATTTTGGTTGTAGGTGTTTTCGGGTCCTTGGTCGATCGAGTTCAACGTCCGAGAATTAAGTCAAGTTGCTGCCTTTGAGCCATCCCCTGCTGCCAGCCTAACCTACACCACCCATTTTCTTAACCTACACCACAACTGCTACAACAACCTCACCATCTCCCCTACTAAAACTCTCCTTCTTCCCCTGCTTCCAGCTTCTCACTCACACCATCACCAACAGCAACAAAAACAACACCAATCAGGCACGCAACAACCACCAGCCTCCCAATCTCAGTCACACACACCAACACCCCGCAATTCCAATCAACCACGCAACTCACAGCAACACTAATCCCCTAATACCTCACGCAACTCCCTTACCACCTCCAATTAACTACCACGCAGCCACCTAAACCACCATCAATGTCCTCCACCAGCAACGCACCGCACTCTACCCCACATCACACAAACCAGCCACGCAACTCCCATATTTCTACCACAACCACCACCAATCGCAGCCCTCACCCACCTAAAAACTCACGCACTCCACCAAATCAACCTCACACAAATCTGCCGCAGCCTCTACACCAGCCACCTGGCAGCCGCAACCAACACCAACACCACCAATCAGAATAGCAGCCCCTGCTGCCCCTACTCATCCACCACTCTCGCAACCTCCTTTAATTCCCCCAATTCAATTGAAATTCCCCGAGGACGGCGGTGTGAGAGGAGCGAACGCGGGCTTGATGTCACAAATCAGGCAGTAAGTAGCCGCGGTTGTCCCGAGGTCTTCCCGCGGACGCGGTGGCTCTAGAGAGGGCGCGGGCTACAGTACCCGCGGGCGCGGGGTTGCTGCAGCTCCAAAACTGTCGTATTTGGGCAGTAAGCACCTGCGGTTGTCCCGAGGGCTCCCCGAGGGCGCAGGCCTTGCGCCGCGGGCGCGGCTATCGGGGTGTCCGTTCCCTCCGCGGGCGCGGCCGATTTCTCAGTGGGCGCGGGTTTCTGGGTCTTTTACGATTTTAAGCTTCTTTTCTCCTTTTGTTTATATAGTTTTTGGTTTCCTTTATTCTTTATTCATGTAATTTTTTAGTTTTAGAATAGTTTTCTCTCTCTTAGGTTGAGAGTTTCTCTCTCTAGATTAGGAGTAGTTTTAGAGAGAGAAAGTGAGGAATTTCAATGGTGATTGAGAGATTGAAGATGCAAGTGTGACAATTGTGTTGGAGATCTTCTTAATTATCAATGAGCATTTCTAAACTCTATCTCATTCAATTGCTTTGTTTAATTTGATGTTTGTTTGGTTTGATTTTGATATTTGATGTTTGATTAGAGTAATTTTTCTTGATATTTTGTTGATTCTTGTTCTCTATAGTTGATAGTTGATTTGATGATGTTGTTTGAGTAGTTTTTGGCTAGGAATTGGGTGAAACTTGTATGATTGATTAATTGTGATTAATTTTGGAATTGTGTTGATTAATTGTTGAGATTAAAGTGATTAATGAAGGTTTGCATGTGTGTAATTTAATTAGGCCTTGAGAATTATGCTAGATTGCATTGTAATTGCTAATGACACGAATAATTGATTTAGGGATTGCAATTGTCTATTGGTTTTGATTGTGATTCTCTTGATTTGTTATTCATAGTGAACCCTAGCTTAACAATTAGGAGATAATTGATTGCTCTTTTCATTAGTCCTCATAACCTTTGATTGGCATACTCTTCCAAGTTGTTGCAATTGACATGATTACTTGTTGATCCCCGTTCCTAGTGTTTTATTTCCTTGGTTACTTTTTTTTGTTAGTTGTTAGTATTCTCTCTTACCTTCGTCTTTGACCTAGCTTAGGCGCATAATTGAAAGTGCTTGAACATTACCGTTCCTTTGGGTTCGACCCTTGACTTGCCTCTATACTCGTATTTAGGTTTGTTAAGTGTTTATAAATTTAGTTTGACCGAGGGAAGATTAGATAACGACCTAGTTTTCCACTCGTCAGTAGCGACATACAACACAAGATAAGAAGGATTTAGAGGAAGCGGCGGTGGAGTAGCTTGGAGACAACCATCACCTTGATTTTCATCTTAGCCTCAACAATGGAACCAACAAGCTCAACCTTCCTACAATTCCAACCCTCAATATCAAAATCCACCTCCATCTCAACACCAAAACCCAAGAGGAAGCTACCCAAGGAACAACCAATACAACAATCAAACCCAAGCACCTCAAGCGGAGCTAACACAAACTCAACTCCTTCAAGCCTTGCATGCACAAATGCAAACTTTTGGGCAACAAATGCAAGAAATAAGAGCTCACAACAAGATGGTTGATTCACAACTAGCTCAATTGGCCGAGAGAACTCCATTCAATTCACAATCTACTCTACCCGGACAACCACAACCTAACCCTTCTCATAACTAAAAACCCGATACATGCAAGGCGATAACACTGAGGTTGGGAACTTCCTATGAAGGGTTAAATGAGAGGGTTAATGAGGAAAGGAAGGGAGAAGAAGAGAGTGTGAATGAGGACAATAGAGGTGAGAAAGAAAAAGTTGATGAGATAGAAGGAGGTTCGGAGAAAAAGAAGCTTGACAATGAGAAGACAACTTCAATTCCTAGTGAGGTTAGGAATCTTGACGGACCCGTTCCTTTTCCCAATCGACTTGCAAAGAGGAAGTTGAACGACAAGTTTGCAAAATTCCTTTGTGTGATGAAGAATTTGCACATCAACCTCCCTTTCATTGATGTTGTGATACAAATGCCATCTTATTTCAAGTTCCTCAAAGATATTCTCACCAACAAGAGGAATCTCAATGATGAGCTTATCACCCTTCCACATCAAGTGAGTGCTCCTGCCCAACATAAGATGCCCAAGAAGGAAAAACGCCCGGGAAACTTCACTTTGCCGGTGAAAATCGGGTACATGGAAGCTAGGGGAGCCTTAGCCGATCTTAGAGCAAGTGTTAGTTTAATCCCTCTATCTATTGCTCAAAAACTCAATATAGAGATGATGCCTACAAGGAAGACAATTCAATTGGCCGATCGGTTGGTTAAATTACCTTGTGGAGAGCTTGAGGATGTTCCAATTCAAGTGGGACACATCTACGTGCCTTGTGACTTTGTAGTCATGGATATGGACGAAGATGTTAACACTCCTTTGATTTTGGGACGTGAAGCTCTTAAAAGTTTAGGGGAGGTCATCAATTTTAAGAACAACACCATCACATGTGAGGTGGCCGATGAGAAGATTGTCTTTGAGTTTTCTAAGTTGCTCAAGACCCCCATGGTTGAAAAATGCTATAGAGTTGATGTTGTGAGTGAGGAGTTAGATCGCTTGGGGAGGGTCATGATGAATCCTCAAGATCCAATGGTAGAAGCTCTAACATGCAAGGAAGAGTTCCACTCTCAAGAGGCAAAAGAGTTTGTCAGGGAAATGGAGGAATCCTCAAAGGAGGAGGTTGAACAACAAGTTGAGATCGAGCTTGAGTCCAATGAGGAGAAATTGGAGGAGAGTTCTAAGCCTCCTCTAAAGGTAGAACTCATGCCCCTTCCCCCTTCTTTGAAATATGCTTATCTTGATAAAGAGGGAAAATACCCTATTATAGTTATGCTACCCTAGATTATCTTAATTTGGAAAAAACTACTTGATGTTTTGAGAAAATATAAGGATGTAATAGGGTATAGCATTGATGATATCAAAGGTATTAGCCCTTCTTTATGCATGCATTGTATTCATCTTGAAGATGATCATTCCACCTCCATTGATTCTTAAAGGAGGCGGAACCCCAACCTCCAAGAGGTTGTCAAGAAAGAAATTTTGAAACTACGTGAGGCGGGCATCATCTATGCTATCTCTAATAGCAAGTGGGTTAGCCCGGTTCATGTGGTTCCAAAAAAAGGTGGGATGGTGACCGGGTGGAGAATGTGTATTGATTATAGGAGTTGAACAAAAATACCAAGAAAGATCATTTTCATGTCCCATTCATGGACCAAATGCTTGAGTGACTCTCTTACCATGCTTTCTTTTGTTTCTTGGATGGTTACTCTAGGTTCTTCCAAATCCCTATCCATCCAAGCGATCAAGAGAAAACTACTTTCACTTGTCCATATGGGACATTTTCATACCGAAGAATGACATTCGGCTTATGCAATGCTCCTTCTACCTTTCAAAGATGCATGACCTTCATTTTCTCCGAGATGCTTGAAAAAGAAATTGAAGTTTTCATGGATGATTTTGGTGTTGGTGGCTTGTCTTTTGACACTTGTCTTTTTAACCTCGAAAATGTTTTGAAAAGGTGTCAACAGATGAGTTTGGTTTTAAATTGGGAAAAGTGTCACTTCATGGTCGAGGAGGGTATTACCCTCGACCATAAAGTTTCATAAAATGGCATTGAAGTTGATTCGGCCAAAGTTTCGGTGATAGAGAAGTTTCCCCTCCTACTTCTATCACGAGAGTATGAGATTTTCTTGGGCATGCCGGATTCTACCGGAGATTTATCAAAGATTTTTCGTCATTCGCCAATCTTTAACCGAATTACTAAAAAAGGATGTTAATTTTAACTTCAATGAGGCTTGCCTTGAGGCATTTAATAAGCTCAAGGAAGCTCTCATCTCCTCTCCTGTTGTGCAAGCTTTGAATTGGAGCTTTCCTTTTGAGCTAAAGTGAGATGCGAGTGATTTTGCAGTGGGTGTCGTGCTTGGTCAAAAGAAAGAAGGAAAATCATTTGTCATCTACTATGCAAGTAGAACTCTTGATGAATCTCAAACGAACTATACAACAACGGAGAAGGAAATGCTAGCGGTTGTGTTTGCCTTTAATAAGTTTAGGTCCTATCTTATTTGCTCTAAGGTTATTGTGTATACGGATCATATTATGGTGCGATATCTTCAGACTAAGAAGGAAGCAAAGCCTCGCCTTATTCGTTGGGTTCTCTCTCTTCAAGATTTTCACATGGAAATGAGGGACAAAAGGGAGCGGAGAATTATGTTGCGGATCATTTGTCTAGGTTACCTTTTGAGAACAAAAGTGATGCACCAATCAATGATGAGATAGGATTTGAAACTCTCATTTCTATGGATTCAACATCTAGCCCTTGGTATGTGGACATCGCCAATTATCTTGCTTGTGGAGTCATTCCCCCGGAGTTTTCTTCTTAACAAAAAAGAGGTTTTTCAAGGAAGTGAGGAGGTACTTTTGGAATGACCCATACTTGTTCAAACAATGTGGTGATGGCCTTTTTTTGAAAATGTGTTCCGGATCATGAAATCAAAGGAGTTCTTGAGCATTGCCATTCACTACCATGTGGAGGACATGGGGGTGTTGATAAGACGGTGGCAAAAATTTCTCAATCTCTATTGTGGTGGCCAACGATGCATAAGGATGTCCACAAGCTCGTTTCACAATGTGATAGGTGTCAAAGAAGTGGTGGCATAACCAAAAGGGATAAAATGCCTCAACAAAGTGTCTTGGAAGTTGAGCCCTTTGATGTTTGGGGGTGGACGTTATGGGGCCTTTCGTTTCTTCTTGTGGAAATCTATATATCTTGGTAGCGGTTGACTATGTGACAAAATGGATTGCAACCATACCCTCTCCAACCAATGATCACAAGGTTGTGCTTAAGCTTCTAAAGAAGATCATTTTTCCTAGATTTGGAGTTCCAAGGGTCTTAATTAGTGATGGAGGCTCCCATTTCGCCAAAAAGAAATTTGAAGCTCTTCTTAAGAAATATGGCGCTCATCACAAGGTTGGACTACCTTACCACCCTCAAACTTAAGGACAAGTGGAGCTCTTGAATCGTGAAATCAAGAATCTACTTGAAAGGATGGTGCACAAATCAAGGAAATATTGGTCTCTCAAGATCGATGATACACTATGGGCTCTTAAGACGGCGTACAAGACTCCTATCGGCACGACCCCCTATAGGTTGGTCTACGAAAAGGCTTGTCAGTTGCCAATTGAGTTAGAATACAAGGCTTGGTGGGCCATCAAGGAACTTAATATGGATTTATCGTTAGCCGGTGAGAAGAGGTTACTTAAGCTCAATGAGCTTGAAGAGCTTAGAAATGATGCTTATGAGAGCTCAAGATTGTATAAGGAGAAGACCAAAAAGTGGCATGACCAACATATACAAAACAAGAGGTTTAAGGTTGGAGATAAGGTTTTTCTTTTCAACTCAAAGCTTCGTTTTTTTCCGGGTAAACTCAAGTCCAAGTGGTCGGGTCCTTTTGTGGTATCGAAGACTACTCCTTATGGTTCTTTTGAGTTAGATGCGGATGGTAACAAGTTTTTTGTCAATGGTCTTTGTTTGAAGCATTACTTTTGCAGGGAAGAAGTTGGTCTCATTGAATGTCTAATGCTTGATCCTTTGGATCCTAAGCCTCCCCTTGATGAATTTTTCTCATGGTTAAGCTAGTGACCTCATAAAGAAGCGCTTCTCGGGAGGCAACCCGAGTTTCTAACCCTTTTCTACTCTTTTTTTTCTTGATGCTTAATTTTTCTATCTATAATTTTGGATTGATGGATTTATGTGGTTTAGGTTTTGGTTGTGTTGGAATCATTGGTATGCCTTTCCTTTAGCGTGATTGTATGGTGTTTTAGTGTGTTTTGAAGAGAAGTTTTTGTGCATAATTTGAAGCTTTTCTTTTTGAGGGAAGTCCGAGCGAGCTCCATTGAGGTTTGAATACTCTCAATCTAGAAGCGAAAATACTGCAAAATGAGATTTTTTGAAAAATTGGGTGGTTCGACCGAACTCCCTGAAGGTTCGGTCGAACCTTGTAAAAAGTTTGACCGGACTTTCTTGAGTCCGGCCGCTCCTACTCTGGAAATGTAATCTGAAAACTCTCTACCAGAATTGCAGAAATTAAAGATTCAGAGTAGGTTCGACCAAACCCAGGGGTGGTTCGACCGAACCTTGGTGTCACCGAACTATCTGAAGTTCGGCCGCTCCTATTTTTGAACTATAATATGTGAAAACTTTCTGCCCAATTTTTTAATTTAAAGTTTGAGAGTAGGTTCGACTGAACCTTGAGGTAGTTCGACCGAACACTGGGTTAAGTTTGACCGAACCTTTGTCGAGCAAATTTTTTTTTAAAAGGCAAAGAAAAGCCACACAGCTCTTCTTCTCCATTAACCCTCATTCGACTCTCTCTCTCTTCTCTTCTCCTTCTCACTCTAAAAATCCATTGTCACACCCCATTTCAACCTCAAATCTCCATCAAAATCACTCCAATCTTCTCTATTTCTCACTTTTTTTCATCCTTTACTCAATTTCTACAATCTACACCCAAAATTCCTCACAAAACTCCACCTTTTCAAATTTTTCCCAATTTCTAGGGTTTGAGTGAATTGATATTTTTGAGTTTCTACTTGCTTCCAATCAATTGTGTTATGGTTTTTCTAGCTTTTGCAAGTTCATTTTGTCAATTTCTCTTAGTTTTGCGATGTTTTACATGTTGAAGTATGAACTGTGGTAATATTGAAATTGTTAATAATGGCTTGTTTGATGTTTGTGGTTCTTGGGATTTCCTTGTTGCAATTGATTGGTTGTTAATAGTAGAACTTGCTTTATGATTATTATGCATGTATACCTTGATTTTATTTGGTTTTAATGTATTTGCTTGAATATGTTGATTTCACATTAGGTTGTTCATCCTACTACTTTTTGATTGAGAAATTCATGAGTTGGATGTAGTTTGAGATTGTTATTCGTTGTTCTTGGTTTGAAGTTGATGGTTTGTGAGTGATTATCATGAATCTAGGGTACATCATGCCGAATTTCACCTAGACTTTCTTAGGATTTGCATATGAATGCCAATGAACTTTTCGTTCTTGCCTTGGTTCATAAGTGTTTATTAATGCCTTGAATTGTATGGTTGTTATCCTCTACATCTATTTCACAATTCATGACTATTACTTTCATGCATACACTTTTTATCTTGGCAAACTTTTTATGACACCTCTTGGCTTGCATCTTCCTAATGATATTCTTGGTTACTTTGTAGAGTCATAATGTTTGGAAAAAGTAAAGGAAAATCCAAGAGGAAGAGGGCGGGTGAGCCTTCAACACCCTCTTTCCCACCTCCACCGGGCATTAACGATCAGGGCATCATTGCTTATGATGAGAAATTCTGGAATTTCTACCAATTACTCATCTCTCGTCCAATTAGATCAACAAGGTTCTTCTGTGCTACAACCTTGAGGAGACTCGGCATCTTGGACGAAGTGGTCAGCCTTGCTCAAAACTTTGGGTGGGGTGACTTCATCAACCTTTCCGCTCACACTTATGAGCGAGTTACATTGGATTTCCTTGCTTCTCTCCTCAAGGAAGTATTAGAAGAGGATGATGATGGCAATGAACCTCAACTTGTTATTCACTTCTGCATGTTCAATGAGGACCATTCTCTAACCGAGAGTGATCTAAATAAAATCTTCCATTAGCATGTAACCGGGCTTGATCACCCTTCCGAGATGAACTCAACTCATCGCATCCCATATAATGAGCAAGAGTGGTGGAGGAGCATATCCTCCAAGGAAAACTTGCGCACTAACATTGCCAAACTCGTCTTCTTCAATATGTCATATTCTTTAAGGAAAATCTTTTCTCTATGGTGAAAGATGAG